ATTGAGCCTGTCCCATTCCTAGAGAGCAAAGACATCCTGGCAGCATTAAATAAACACCCATTTATGTACTTTGTCATACCCCTGATATATCAGGTCCCTTGTTAGTTTACAATTTTTTTTAGAAAACAATATGATTTAAAAGCTCAGGCCATTTTATGGAAATGCATAGGAAATGGAGCCCTTTGTGATCAAACTTTGCCTTTGTTTTATAATGATAGGACTAGACAGCTTTTTAAAAATACTGTATATCCTAAACCTTCAAACCAGTTATTTATATTGGAAGTTATCCTGATTTAAAGTTAAGCTCCTTAGCTTACGTAAATCATGTCAGAGGCCCAGGAGGTAATAATGATACTCTTCGCTAGCTTGGAAAATTGGAGTTGTCCACTTGGACTAACAATAAATGCCAATAAGATAAAGTGTGATGTGTAGCCGGTAAAGGTAAATAGAGAATCAGTGAGCTGGTAGGACAATGAAAAAAATAATACGTACTGGGAAGAACTGATATCCTTTGATACTTTCCCCCAAGGACAGGAGATACATAAGACAGATGCAAAAATGTAGCCATTTAAATGGGTACAAGCAGGACGTTTATCTCTTAGGTAAATATTTATCAAAGGCTGGTACTTGGAGTATCACCCAATGAACTGGAAAGAAGTGCTATAAATTTAATGATGGAAATGAGAATTATTCGGAAGCCCGGTACAAGTCAAACAAAGGCTAGATGGTTAATTTTTATGACTCTGCTGGTAGGCATTTCACAACTTCTAGAAAAAGAAAAGGAAGTCAACCATTTGTTATACCTACATGGTGGGCAAGTCGGTTTATTTCAAATGAAGAAAGAAGTTGGATTAGATTTTCTTCACTCATCTGAGTGGAAGAGATGTCTACTCCTAAGATGAGGACTATTCTCACAGTGCTCTTTTTAGCAAATGTGTTGAAAAGAATCTTCCAGCTACTGAATTATTTCCCATTTATAACCAATATAATGCCTCGTACTTTAGGGCAAAGATATGCTGTTTTCTTCATCAATCCATGAGTTCTCTTCATTGATAATGGACAAGGTTGAAACTCACTGCTTACCTAACAGACTCCAAAATCTTCATACTTTTAGGAACCAACCATAACAACCACAAACAGGAATATTTGTCCAGTCCACATTTATATGACCCCACAGTGGTGAAATATTTTGCTTCCCAGGGCTCCATATAATGTATCTTATATCCTTCCATTGATTCCTTTGTTAAAGAGTTTGGCAATTTTGTACTTGCATTTGAAGTTCTTAAAACAAGTTCACATTTGTTTTAGGAATCAGATTAATTGCATGAGGAAGAGGAATTGTCCAGGAATCATTATTTTCAAAAGCAGACGAAGCAGAACCGTTCAGATCTGGCTCAAAGGTGGTTGGAATTGAAGGAGAAACTTGAAGACAGGTAGTATCTAACTGCCTCCAGCTGTCTTCAAGAGGGAAGGATCTGGAATTCTTCCAAGTCCCTGAGAATGTAGACCTAGGTATGAAGACGTCCAGAGGAGAACCCTGCAAGTACAGCTTCAGGGGGAAAAAAGATAAAAACTCAAACTTCCAGGAATTACTCAAAACAGAACTGAGCTGTAACAGATAAAGGTCAAGAGAAGCACCAGCTGTAAAAACTTCTAGAAAAACCAAAGTCATGCTGCTTAAATCCAATCTTCATAAATTCTTTCTCCTTGAAGACCCTGTTATCAGTTTGTCTTGGCATTTGGACTGTTTCACAGTTATGTTCCTGATTTATACCCTGTTTTGTCTTGCTTGGTTTGCAGGAACTTCTGATTTCCTTGAGACAGCTTACAGAATTTCTGTGTACCCCTTTGGCATTTTGTTTCTGAACAACAAAGTCAGGCTTTGAGTGCAAGAGATTTTAAGCTTGGTTTGGGGCAGAGGTGAAGTCCAGCAGGTTCTGACAGGTTCTGGAGAACCGGTAGCGGAAATTTTGAGTAGTTTGGAGAACTGGCAAATACCACCTCTGGCTGGCCCCAGAGTGGGCTGGGAATGGAGATTTTGCAGCATCTTTCCCCTGCCATGCCCACCAAGCCACACTGACCAAGCCATACCAGCCCACATAACCGGTAGTAAAAAAATTTGAATTTCACCATTGGTTTGGGGAATTGTAATTTGCACTTAAATGATGGGCATTGATCATCCCAGATTCATAATTTAGGTTTGTAGATTAAAAATGTTAACATTATCATTAGTATTTGGAAATATTTCCCTGTCATATGTGATTTTCTTGCTCTGAAATTTGGTGGGTCTTGGATTTTCATTTAAATGCTTGTTCTTTTTTAAGCAAAGTCAAAATACTTTCCCTCTAAATGCACAAGCACTGAAGTTCAAAAGTTAATGCTCGCCCCACTTCAAATAGCCTGTTTTGCTTCCAATATTGTAGTTTTCCCACCAACAGGTTAGGGGAAAATAGAATTTATTCTAAAAGATCAGCCGCTTCATTCATCTTCCTTCACAAGCAGGTTTTCACTTTCAGAATAAGCGTCGGTATATAGAAAACAAAAATACAAAATCAACAACACATATTTGAGTTAGTAAAAGGCACCAAATTTATTAATATTTCAACATGTATAGAAAACAGCTACGAGGGTAATCAGAGTTCTCAGATATTTAATCCATAATACTGTAATTCTCTGCATATTTGTTCCAACCAGTTGAGCTTTTTGAAGTTTGTCACCCCCAAGCATAATGAAACCCACAGTGAGGCTGGATTTAGCCCATGGAGTTTCAAATACCAAAATGTGGCGGCTTTGAAAATCTCTGCTTTTCTCTTGCTGAAAAGCACTGTCATTCAGGAATTTGCATATAATCCCTGGTTTTACTTTGTTTGCGATTACCGCCTCTTTAGTTGCAGTGATTGCCTTTTTAAAAGGAGTGTGGCAATGTGTGACTATTGCAAAAAAATAAAAATAAAATAAAAATGAATGCACTTCAGGGTTTAGGCATAGTCATTCAGAATGATAAAAAAAGCCAAAATCCTATAGTGATAATTGATAAGCACAATTGAAATCAGCCTGTGTTGTTCTGAGGAACTTCAGCATAGAGGAAAAGATGGGAAGAGGCCATAAACGCACAATTTATTGTATGCCAGGTTTCTTGCAGGGGTGGGTTTCACTTACCTTTACCACTGGTTCGCCCCGCGTGCGCACGCTTGCTCTCTTCGTGCACATGTGGATTGTCCGTGCATGCGCCCGGCCTTCCACGCGTGCACTTTGCTCGCTTTCACGCCTTCCACAATTGCCTTGAAAATGTTCCTAAATAGCATGACTTGGAGCACGACTTGGAGCCGGGGCAGGTGGGCAGGCCGACCTGCGATTGCTGCTACCGATTCGCCCGAACCGGTGCGAACCAGCTGGATACCACCTCTGTCTTTGTGGCTGGCAAGTGTGCCAATGAGACCTGATTGGCTTTAGTTCCTTCCCATGTGTCAAAATGCTTGAAGCTCCTGAGGGTTTGGCTGCTTTCCTTCAAACATAAAGCTTCCACACTAATCCTAAATCGTGCCAAAAATGAACTCACCTGTTTTTGAATCTCAGGTCTGGCACTGAGGTGCTCTTGTGGTTTATCAACCCCAGTGTCTCGAAGGGGAATGTTTCCATAGTACAAGTGGGAAATTTAGCTCTCTGCATGAGATATAAATAAGGGGCATGGATTCTGCACCACTCCTGTTTGCAGGGAATGCCCACTGAAATAAAATTATGGTACAAATAAAGGAGAATATTTGGAGATCAGGGTTGAAATAAGGGGGTCCTTGGTGCGCTCTGAGCTTGGTTATTTTCTTGCAGACATTTGATTACCCAAATTATTGGGTTGATAATGTTACCTAGTCTGGGTATTGAAAGGTCTGCAAGAAAACAACCAAGCTCAGAGAGCACCAAGGACCCCAAAATAAAATTAATTTGTCAAAGAGGACTGATGGCACAAAGTAGAAGATACTTCTATGTGAGCGAATAGGGTGTTTAGTGAAAACTTACCAAGCCATGAAGCTAATTGGGGCAGCCCAAGAATTTCTCAAATGGCCTTGAACTTTTGGGCTCACCATCAGAAAGAATGATGGGTAGCTAAAAGATATTGGACTAAAATCCACAAATGGCTGGAAAAAATGACAAAGAAACATATTGACTTTAAACCAGAGACATTTTTATTGGGGATTTTACCAGAAATATACAATAGAGAAATCAGATATTTAATTGTGAATATTTTAATGGCGACTAGAATTGTATTTGCTAGAAATTGGAAAGGTGAGAAGATACCCACGGATGATGACGTTATCAAGAAAATTTTGGAGTGTGCTGAAATGAGTAAATTGACATTTGAAATTAGGGAACAAGAAGATAAACAATATTATTTAATATGGGATCTATTTTATCAATGGTTAGACAAGAAAGAATGGAAATGAAATATGAAATATGAAATGGATAAGATAATAAAACATATAAAGGGGTTTTTTTTCCCCTTATAGAGGACAATTTACTGTTAAATAATTGGTAAATGAGAATAATAATGTAATAAACTGTTAAATAAGAAAATGTTGGATAGAGGATTAAGCACAAAAGATTTGTAACCGATCAATACACTTTCTGTAATTCTAATGGATGATAATTGTTTTATGTTTTAAGTTTTGTTTAAAAATAAAAAAAAATTCCAAAAAAAGAAAAAAAGAAAGAAAGAATGATGGGTAGATTCTGGAAGGAAATTAAACCCAGGGGGAAAAAAGTATTCAATTACTACATACCTACTGTGAATTGTGTTTGGTTTTCTATTTCAGGAATGTCACGCTACCTTCAAATGAGGGATTTCCAATGAGATTTGGGTTTATTCAGAGTAAAATCCAGCAGGCTAAAAGAAGCCTCTTTGACAAGCCAAGGGACATCTCTGTTTTTTTGACCTTTGTCATGGCTTCTTCTTTGCTTAGAGCTATGTTCTTTTTCTGAGAGTGATTTCTGTTTCTCTTCGGCAGATATTCGTGGCCTACAAGGATTTCTGGATCAGGCTTCAAAGCTAGGACTTGACGTGTCTTTACAAAAAGTAGACAGAAACATCAGCAGGGTTTTTGCCAGCCTTTTTACTTCCATGAAAACCGAAGAGCTGAACCGCTACCGAGATACGTTACGGAGAGCTATCTTACTTCTGAGCCCAAGGGGAGCACAAACGTTCATCAATGAGGTTAGTACTTTCTTTTTGGAATGTTTTCTTAACTGAAAGTCGTAAGAGAAGTGATCATAGATAATCTCTACTTCTGCAGTTCAACCTTGAGATGCTGTGCTTTCTAGTTGGGTAAATGCTAAATCATCTGCTGTGTAACAATAAATAAAGGAAAATGTAGACTTGGGAACTTTGAAAGGTACTTATGTACAAGAAGTTGTGTGCGGTATTTCCTAGGCAGGTTGCCAATCACACTCTGAGTTTTCTCCTCTCTTTTTGACGTTCCTCACCATTCTAATAGCTTTAAAGTTGCAAATATAAAGAAAATCTTATCTGGTAACTATGTTCATGTGATTGATAGATTGAGCACAACTGGATACCCTTCAATGATAGGAGTGATTAAGGGGTGTGATCAGCTTATTTTGAGAATAGTTCCATACATTTCCCTTATTTATGCTATATTTATTTATGCTAACCAGGTGTTTGCCTTCTTGGGCAAAGCTTACCTCACATTTATTGCTGTTGTGGTTGTTAAATTTGAGCGCCACAAGTTTGTCGTAGTAGGCAAAGAAGTATGTATGATTTGAACTGGACTGATGTTTCATATATTTTTAGTGGATCTGATGAATTACCCCTATGGGAAAAGTAATTTCTAGATGAATTAATATTTTAATGAATTTTATCATTTATAAATGAATCAATAATGTATTTTTGACAGGGATCATCAGCTAATTAATCTTCACATGAAATTATGAGGAACATTTAATTGCTCTTTTTGAGGTGATGGGAATAAAGAATTATGGAAGCTCATAAAATAGAAAAGGGTCAGAGTGCAGAAAACTGTCGAAATACATTCTTTTTTAGTTTCTGCTTTGCTTAGTTTGAATAATATAATATTACGTAATATGCTTTATATTTGATAACAATCTAGTTATCATTACCATGTGGAATAATGTTCTCATTGGATGGTTTTTTTTCCCCCCTCTCTCTTTAATGAAATTGATTTTGAGCAACTTGAAAAATCAAAAACAAAGTTGACATAAATTTGATAGGTCTGATATAAAGAGGATATAATATTAATGTTCTCTAGTTATCTTTTTATGGTTTATCAAATGTGAAACATTGTTATGGTTTACCAGGGCCAGAACCCATATTTAACATTTTATTTATTAACCAATTGGTGGTTGCCTTATTTATTTGTGCTTGCAAAACGTAGATTGTTGCTTTTTTATATAGAGAATATGAAATGATTTTTCACTGCTTCCTTCTGAAATGTCTTTTTTATAAAAAATATTTCCCAGTCTCACCTATAACCATTTTTTATTTGCTTTTTTTGTTTTCTTTGTTTGTTTTGTTATGGTCTCCACTCTAAATAACAGCCAGGTATGAACCTGCTTAGCCAAAGAATGGATTAGAAGGAAATTTAGAGCAAAGAAAACATTACTTCCTACTTCAGTGATATACATTGCACTATTAACCTCTGGAATCCATTATATCAAAAAATAGCAATGGCCACTAATTTAACGGAATTAAATATCTCAAAGGGAGACCAATCTAGAGGTTTTGAAAATTCAGAGTTGCATCTGAGTTGTGGAAAACCTACCTCTAATTAACAATTGTATAAGGGAGCAATAGTTGCAGTGGGTGTGTCTCCATTTCTTGCTTTTGTGAGTATCCAAGTGGATTTTGATGGCCTTCACGAGAAAAATTACACTGGACTAAAATGGGAGTTATTTTGATTTTACAGGCGTGCATATTTAAGGCCTCGTGTGAGCCCTGGGGTCCAACAGACAGAAGTTTTATTGAACTCTGAGAATTATGACAATATACTCTGGAATAAAAACTCTGCATGTTGCATTGTGGAATCTGAAAACTTAAGAGAGATGCACAAGGTATCTTTCTGGAAACAATGTTCTCCACTGTCCTGTCGAAGGGCCCTGGGTTTGGTTCTTGCATGCGCTAGATTCTCCCATCCTTCACTGGAAACATCAGAGTGACTTGTTGACACCGTTTCAGCTAATTTAAGCTTTTCCACGGTGGTTTGAAATTGCTTTCCTTATATATTTGTGGTCTTCAACTTATCAAAGGATGCTCGTCCAAGCTGCCTTTCAGACTTGCTGAAAAGAACCCAAATAAATTAAGGACTGTGCTATATTTCTATTCACTCCAGCAGCAATATTTCATTATGTGCTTCCAGCCGCTGCCCTCTAAAATACATAACTTCTGCTAATATTCAGGTTTGCCATTCACATGTCAGAAAGGCAACAGCCCTGCAGGATGTGAAGTTTAAAGGGTAATGCACTAAATTATCATGCTGCTCAGACCTTCCCCAGAGAAAAAGGGCTATTACAGGAATTATTAGGCTAATGATCCTGATATTTTTCCAGATCCCTGCAGGAATATACGTCTGGGCTGAATTAAGAAGTAATTTGTTCAAAAAAAAAATCTTCTGTTACTGAATCTTGATTGATTCAGCAAAGCTTTAGGAGACGAAAAGTTGAATAATGGAACTATGTAATCTTTTTAAAGGCTGTATGCCTCTGAAATATGCTAAAGGGGATAATTTGGCAATCATATAGGCCATATGGAAGTTAGCAGGTTACTTAACTCTATACTATTTATGAACCTGTGAGCCACCTGCACACTATTACAATCACTGGGGGAATGAAATACAGCATTTGTACTGGGGTTGAAGTGTGACATTTGAGATAAAATGGATTTTTAATAGGTTTGGCAAGAAAAAGAGATATTGTCCCATTCTTATGAGGTCTGGGTGACCTGCTTCAGTTTCTGTCACACCGTCAAGGCCTGGGAGCTATTCTGCAGAAAGGACAGCTAGACAGAATATCCTTTTGGTATAATCTATCTTTTGTCTTTGAAAGACCAGGAAGGCTCTTGAGGGGATCAGCAGCTGAGCTGTTCAGAGAAAGAACTCAACAAGAACCAAAAATGTGGGTTATGTAACAGCCGGACATCAGAAAAATGTTAATAGATAAGTCATTTTTAAACTATCCAGATGCTAAAAAATGGAAATTTTGCTCCCTTTCCTTTTCTTCATAGAGAGTGGGGTGGAGGCTATATGGCTTTTACTATGAATCTCTGCTTGGTATTATTGTCATTGTCAGTGGTGGGACTCAATTTTTTTTTACTTCTGGTTCTGTGGCCGTGGCTTGGTGGGTGTGGCATGGCTTGGTGGGTGTGGCAGGGGAAGGATACTGTAAAATCTCCATTCCCTCCCCACTCCAGGGGAAGGATACTGCAAAATCCCCATTTCCTCCCAATCAGCTGGGACTCGGGAGGCAGAGAATAGATGGGGGCGGGGCCAGTCAGAAGTGGTACTTACCGGTTCTCCAAACTACTCAAAATTTCTGCTACCAGTTCTCCAGAACTGGTCAGAACCTGCTGAATATCACCTCTGGTCATCTCTGCTTCTAAAGGCTTAGAAATGAGGGAAAATCTGGGGTGGATGACATGACTAAGACGTGTTGGTCTGTGAGGCTGGAAATATTGGAAAATATTTGGTGTGTTTCTGAAGGGTAGCAACACAATTCAAGTGGTATCTCAATTTGGTCCCAAGGCTGAATTTCAGATTTAAGACTTCCTCTGTTTAAAATGAGATTCAAATAAAAATTGGGATCAAATGCTCCAATTCTCTCCCTAAACACAGATCCCACCACCTACCTGGAAAAAACCACTAGATCCAAAAAAAAGCCTCCCCCATCAGCGAAGAGATTCAGCAAAGAATCATTCCCAGAGAGAAATCATCCAGATGCTCTAAGCTCTATGGTCTCCCCAAGATACACAAAGAAGGAACCCCACTTAGACCCATAGTCAGCTCCATAGGCTCACCTCTACAAAACCTAGCCAAATTTCTCGCCAAACAACTACAGTCCTATGCAGAATCCATCACCTCACACGTAAAAAACTCATTCCAGTTCATAGAGATCATAAAGAAACAAAATTTACAGCCCAGCGACCTACTTGTGACCTTCGATGTCATATCCCTCTTCACCCAAGTGCCAATCAAAGAAGCCTTGACAGCTATCCAAAACAAATATAACCCTCCCAAGCACATCCTAGATCTGACCAACCACTGCCTATCCAACACATACTTCATCTATAACGGACAAAAATACAAACAAATAGAAGGAGCACCCATGGGATCACCCCTCTCACCTGTCATTGCAAACCTCTACATGGAACACTTTGAAACCCAAGCTCTAGAAATATCGGATCACAAACCCAAACTCTGGCTCAGATACGTAGACCACACCTTCATAATCTGGCCACACAGGAAAGAAAAACTGGACAACTTCCTCACACACCTCAACAGCCTACACCCCAAAATACAGTTCACCATGGAAACAGAAGCTAACAACCAACTTCCCTTCCTGGATGTCTTAGTCTACAAAAAATCCAATGGCTCCCTAGGACACACCATCTACCAGAAGAAAACACACACAAACCGCTATCTGCACGCACTCTCACACCACCACCCAGCACAGATCAACTCCGTAGCCAAGACACTCATCTCCAGAACAAAACGCTTAGCTGACGAACAACACCTAAAAACCGAACTACACACTCTCACTAACATACTAACATCCAACAGATTCCAAAGAAATAAGATTACCAACCTAATCCAAAAAGAAACCCCCACTAAAATCCAAGACAGAGAACAAGAAAATGGCAAAGCCCTCCTCCCATACATAAAAGGCACCATAGACAGAATCAGCAAAATCCTCCACAAACACAACATCAAGACAACATTCTGCACAAACCGAAAAATATCCACCATCCTAAGAAACCCCAAAGACAAAATTGAGTTAGTAAATCAAGGAGTATATGAAATCCCATGCACCGCCTGCCCCACCACATACATTGGACAAACCAACAGAAGAATAAGTACACGCATTGAAGAACACAAGAACTCAGTCAGAAAAGAGGAACCAACTTCTTCCCTGGTCCAACACCTTAAAGCCACAGGACATGATATTGATTTTAAAAAGACCAGAACTATA